TGGCTGGGGGCTGGACTGGATGACCCATATGGTCTTTTCCAACTCTGCGATTTGGCCATGGAACACACATTTTGTGACATCTCATTCTAATTTAAACAACAGATGGAAAAAGATTAAGTTGATAAGAATGTAAAGAAAGATCCAGCATCTGCATAACGTTCTTGATCTTGGAGAATCAATGTGCAAGATTTCTTCTAATCTTGCGTTCTTTATCATAACGAATAGGAACTCTACCTTTGGAAGACAATCATATTCAGCCACGAGTGATTGTCCATAATGATGAGATGAAGAACATGTAGCTTCTTACAAGTTCCTGAACTATATCTTCCATCATTTTTCACCTTGGCCAGTCTGATTGGGGCTGAAGGAAACTGGAGCCTCACTACATCTTGAAGCTTTTTTTTTTTTTTTTTGCTGGTTTCATACTTAGTTTTGCATAAATGCTAACTGGTTATTACCAACCTAGGATGTCATGGAATTATGGCTTTTAGACCATTTTCATATTCTGGCTTGAAGGCAATCCTGGTTAACCAAAGTTAGCGAAGTTGAGTTATTGTCCATGGTAAATGAATTAGTTGTTAAACTAAAAAAAAGATAATGGGACATGCTAAAGGAAGAGAAGATGGAATATTTGGACTTGGAACATCAAGAACCCATTGAATCAGCATAGTTATTTTAGCTATCTTGTCAGAAGCGAATTGAGAAAACAATTGTAATGTATAAAACACCACAACCAAAGTTAAAAACTTGGCATTATGCTGAATTTCCAAAGGAAATCAGCATAGTGGAAACCAACATATCATATTAAACAATTCTAGACAAGCCAGACTGAAAATATGTTGTTGTCTGAGGCAAAATGACATCCTTCTCATTCCATGTACAAGTCAGTTCAACTAACATTAATATCTTTCTTCAATACAGAGAGCCAGACATCATCTTCCTTACAGACAGCAAATTATCATGGAAGAGAGGGTAGAGCTCATAGTTCATAGCTTTCTATCCCCGTTCCACCACTTTGCTGTTGTCAGAAGACATCTGGCATCTGCTGTCTGAGCAAATACTTCACTCTTCCTAATGATAAAACCAGCCCTGATTCTAGAAACATTATCAACTGATAGATGATGGTTTCACTTAAAAATCATTGTGCATTGAAGGAATATTGGTATGGTTATGCTATAGTCACACTCCTCCGATACAAATATTGCCAGCCATAGGCAGGATCCTTGTCCGTGTTCAGCAGTATATACACAGAATTTCTCCATGCAAGGGGGAAAGAGGATTATTATTGGCTAGGGTTTCCTATTCATGCAGAACTCTTCGCTCAGACTTTAACAAGCACGTAAGTCTTGAATGAAACCACAGTTCTCCCAGGGGTTATCTAATAATGGATCATATAGGCCTCCAGAGCAAGGATGGGAATCCCATATTCTGGGGGCCATGTGTGGCCCAATGTTGTTTTTGTAGACTAAAAGCCCACCATAAATTGGAAAATGGGGAGAGTTGCCCATCCAGCGGCCGTTAAAATGGTTATCCTCTAAAATAAAGCAAAGGTGGTGATAACTAAGAATGAAAATGTTGGTATACCACATTTTTACAAATTAGGATATAATTATAGTGCTTTTTTGTGACTAGGTGAAATGAAAACAAGCCTGTGAAACAGTGCCTGAAATACACAAATCTGGAGTGATTTCAGTTGATTTCCCAAAAGCAATTGGCCACAAAATTTCCAGTCATTTGCAACAAGGATTGGAGCATAATAAAGAAATGCTACACTGAGCCATAGAATGTTTGGTCCTTAAAATATCATTAAACAAGAAAAACAACAGTTTTAGATAGCACGGTGGTTCTCAACCTGTAGGTCCCCAGATGTTTTGACCTTCAACTCCCAGAAATCCTAACTGCTGGTAAACTGGCTGGTATTTCTGGGAGTTGTAGACCAAAACACCTGAGGACCCACAGGTTGAGAACTACTGAGATAGCAGAACCAATGGAAAGAGATAATGGTAGGTATATAGTCCAATATGATCTGGAAATCTCCACTCTTGCACTAGTATCATTACAATTCCAAGTGAGTGGTGTGTTGACTATAGGGTGAGAAGTGCAACAATTGTCAAAGAACAAAAATGTATGTTCTGTGTTGCATATTCAGTCTTTTTAGGACTGCATTCCTATGCACCACATGGGATTCTATTTCATTGAACTCAGTGGGACTTATATTTATATGAGTAGAAAAACACAGGATTGCTCTAAAATTAGTCCATCTGTCTATTCCATTTTTGACAGAGCAAAACTGGGGGATGTCATTCAGTGCTCAAAGTAGCATGACAAACTTTACTACTTGTGTTGTTGCCAGGGCTGTGTTGAAAGACCCAGCCAACTGTGAAAATGAAATTACAAGAGTATTTTAAGTGTTACCTACCATTTAATGCCACCATATTTGCTCATTTTCAGCATGTTCCTATTCTTGGGTGATCCCAGGCATGCGTTTGACCTGCAGAAGCTGTTCTTCTGTGCGTCTTTCCTTCATGAATATTCCACACAGAAAAAGCTAACAAATTGAATTCAGTATTTCTCCCAAAATAGGATATGGCTGTGTACATATGTTACTTCTTTCACTTGTCAAATTCTGTTATGTAAAGTACGAAAGATGTTGACAATTCTAATGTCTGGATAGTTTTCTCTACCATTTTAACCCAAAACTCCTAAAAGAGAAAATGGATTATGGAACTCATTTTCTTTCATCACAAATGGTAAATTATAATGAACAAAATAAAGATTGTCTTTCCAAAGCAGAGCCAAAAATAAATACTAATGAATACTTGCTTCTCCAATATTCAATTTATTCCTGCTGTTCAATGAGTTCTTTGCCCTTGCAATTGCAACAGGCAAGGACTGGATGATGTTAGTCGCTCATATTACACCATATGAATTCACAAAGCCTTCTCTTGTACTTGCCCTAGAAGTAATTTCCCTTCCCCATTACTCTCATCAAGTGGTCAGTAGCAAGACGCACCAGTTCTGCATTTATTAATACAGCTGTCATGTCAAAGGTAGAATTTGCAAGCTTAGAAACTGGAGTGAGAAACTTGTGGCTTTCAGCCTGATTTCACATGATCCTCAGCATTATGCCTACATTATGGCCTCACTCTTGCTTTCCGAACAGATAATCAGTGTGTAAATGGACACGCATTGGAGGTATGGAAGTGACAGTACAGAGTTGTGCAATTCTGCAATCTCTGCCTACTTTTGAAACTGTTCCTACTCTGGCAGGCACAATTAAGTTTTCAGATGGGGCAACATTCTATAGGAAAAGTTACCAACTCCTGTTCTAGACTCTTAGGTGTATGAGTATATTCTGGGTCTCCTCCAGAATTCTGGGTATAACTTTTATTCAGTTTTGTTCACTCTAGACATCTCCACAAAATATAGGAGACCATCAGTGCCAAAACAATTTGCATGCCAGCAGTATACATTATAGGTAATCACATCCAATTTTCCGCAGATATAGACTTTGCATTATTTAATGTTGAGACACTGTAAACAAGCACATCTGGTGCATGACATGACAAAATGTCTTCAACCTGCTACTACTCTGATGCAGAGCTTTTCCAATGAAAGGAATTTGACAAGTGAGATTTTTGTTCAAATCTGTTAGTCTCCCCCACCCCCCAAATTTTATAAAGGTGCACCACAGTTGTCACTTGATTGTGTTAGTGTAATAGAACTTTTAGCCTTTGAAAATTATTGGTATTATTGGTATAAATTTTCCTCTTTCAACAGGCGTGGGAAACATTTCCCCCCTTTTTTATTTTGGAAATCAGTTTCTAGAAGTTTCCCATCATCATAGCAAATAGGAAGGGATTATGCAGGTTATATTTCAAGTCATCTGGAGGATCACATATGTTGCCTCCTCAGCTTCACAGGGAGTTTCTTTGTGGAAATTCTGTACTCAACTAAAAACAAAGTGATTTAACAGACATATTTGATATTACTGTATATACTCAAGTATAAGCCAAGTTTTCCGGCCCTTTTTAAGGCTGAAAAAGCTCCCCCCGGCTTATACGCGAGTCAGTTATTATTTTACTCTGATTATTATTACATTTATATTATTTCACTCTTATTATTTTTATTACATGTATTATTTTACTCTGTTTATTATTTTTATTACATTTATTATTTTACTCTATGTATTATTACATTTATTTTTCACTATTACCGTTATTACATTATTTTACTCTATTATTGTTATTATCGCATTTATTATTTTACTCTATTATTATTGAAAGGATACGTAAGCATATTTACGTTGAAGGAGGTTAGAATAATGGTTTAATCAGAGTTGGATAGTCTTAACTTAGTTTTATGTAAATATTTAAAAACAATTAGCTTACTGATGCCTCAATTAATGTAATTTTATCAGTATCTATTTTTATTTTGAAATTTACCAGTATCTGCTGCATTTCCCACCCTTGGCTTATACTTGAGTTAATTAAGTTTTCTCTATTTTTTGAGGTAAAATTAGGTGCCTCAGCTTATATTCGAGTTGGCTTATAATCGAGTATGTATGGTAAGAAAATCAGAATCTTTTCTTCACTCTTTCAAATGATATAATCGGTAGTGCCACAATATAAAAGAACGTAAACATTTCATTTCAACTTTCAGCTAGTAAACTAGATTAGCATTTCAACTGTAAAGGACTATGAATAACCATTCCTTCAATATATTGTTGAAGGCTTTCATGGCTGGAATCACTGGGTTGTTGTAAGTTTTTCGGGCTTGTATGGCCATGTTCCAGAAGCATTCTCTCCTGACGTTCCACCTGCATCTATGGTAGGCATCCTCAGAGGTTCTTCCATTACTTTATCTAATGATAACTATTTTGCTGGATTAAAGTCAAGAGGAGGTAACTTTGTATAAGGCTGTAGCTTATATGTGTTTAACTAGTATTTTCAGATTAATTCTAAACATTTTCACATTCTGAACACATGTTGAGCCAGATCTTTCAACAAAACTGCAGTTTAATTTCAGAAAGTGTTAAAATATATTGTACATCAACTTCTGACATACTACGTTAATATACACAAATGGTCTCTTGAAACTGTATTTATGAAATGTACATTTTAATTTAAATACTCAGTATACACTGCACTTAATCTGCATGTTGCATTTATTAAATACATTAAAATCTGCAATGTAACAAAACGTTTTCTGCATACGAAATTCAAAACACCATTTTCAAATGAACAAAAGATGGCTCACTTCATTTTCAAACTAGTGTGCGATACACCAGCTCAGCTCCACCAACACTAGCTGTTCTTTCTTTTTTATTTGACATTGTTCACAGACTATTACATATCACAATAAGAGTGCTGGATAAAACATGAGGTAAGAAAGTGGTTCAAAGATTATAGTTCATGCAGATCATGCTAGACAGCAAAGAAAAATGTGAATGAGAACACTAAATAAAAATACATAAAGAATGTGCATTATAAAATAAAAACTCAATTACACAGCTTTGCTTCTTTGGTTACAAAGTAGGTTGAACAATTTCACAGCTTTTTATTCCCACCCCAAAAAAAATCATACGAAATGTCAAAAAGCAGAGGAATCATGGCAATTTCTCTATTAGAAAGTAGAAACAGAAATGAGCAAAGTTTTCTTCATCAAAATAGCCCATCAATTATTATATCACAATGACTGGAGACTACCTGTACAGATGCACTATGTCTTCATACTTACACTATACAAAAATTTACATTCAAGCTGGGTCTTAACTACTGAAAATAAATACCAAAAGGTAAATTGCCATTAGTGTTAGAAATATGCCAGGATCCTTTTGTTCAATTATTGCCTAAACATTTTCTCTATTAAACTCAATCCTGTCTATCAATTTTTGCTGATACTTACATTTATTTTTTTAAAAATTAAAAGTTCTGTGACATTGTTCATGTACATTATGAATAGCAGCCCTGTAATAAATAAAACACAAATAAATGAAACTAATGTAGGCAAACGTTACTTGTAATTAACAGTGGCTCTAAAGATGGATTGTTACTATGTGGAAAAAAAGCAAGGCTCAAAGTAATCCATGAGTAATGGAAAACTTTAAGAGCCTCACCAAAGCTCTTAAAGACCCCACTCATGTGCACCAAATAAATGCAGACTTTTGCATTGTAACTCCTATCATTTCCCCCTGCGCACACCACAGTTGGTGTAACAAGACACCAACTGTGTGGCATGACATCTCAGTGAGGGAAAGTTCTGGTAGAATGATTGTCTAATACTGAAAAGGCCGAAACACACAACTGAAGCATGGCTACTAGCTTTCATATAAAGTGGAAAGAACACCAGTGGCACACAAGGACAGATTGCTTTCAGTTTCTTAATGAGGCAAGAAAGCTTTATGCTGAGGAGACATTCGGCTGCTGCGGAGGTTGCATTGGCTGCTGAGGCTGTGCTATCGCTGTTTGCTGTTGTTGAGAAGTGCTACTAGGGTTGGCCTGTTGGGTTGAGAGCTGGGACAACTGATCATTGTTTGAGAGAGATTTTAACAGTGCATTTTCCCGTTCAAGTAAAGAGTTTCTTTCAACTAATTCTTTTATTTGTTCCTTCAGTACTTCCACTTCTTCTCTGACTGCATACATCAAATGGCTTTTCACCAGATCCTGTAAAATGGCAAATAATTAATTGAAACATTCCAAACACTGTGCGAATAAAATGCAATTTTTAAGAAATCAGTCAGTATGCACGCACACTAGCAAAGGATTAATAATAATAATAATAATAATAATAATAATAATAATAATAATAAACAACTTTATTTATAGACCATCGTCCTATCTCCCCAAAGGGACTCAGGGCGGTTTCCAAAACACCTGAGGACCCACAGGTTGACAACCACTGCATTAGACCATATAAAACAATGTAACTATAACTTAATAATCAAAATAGTGAAAAGTAAATAGAAGAAATAAAATAAAAAATAAAGTAAAACCATCATAAAATACAAAACAACCTGATAAAACACACTAAAAATAAAATATAAAACCGAATACAGAGGCCAACTCACAAATCATTTTTAAATGATCACAGGCACGTCTGGCGGGGACGAGGGAGCGGGCCTTCTCGGTGGTGGCCCCCCGGCTTTGGAACTCCCTCCCTGCTGAACTTAGACAGGCGCCCTCCCTTATGGCCTTTCGTAAGGGCCTGAAAACATGGCTTTTCGAATTGGCCTTCAACTGAGTGCTATGTTATTGGAAATGACGACCGGAATGGACTATGACTATGAGATTGATTATGACCCCAGGATATGACGAAGCGGATTTTTAGTATAAGTAGTTGTCATATAGTAGTAGATTGTGTTTATTGTCTTGATTTATTGTAAACTGTCTTTCTATGTTGTTGTACACCGCCACGAGTCGCCCTAGGGCTGAGAGTGGCGGTTAATAAGTGCAAGAAATAAAATAAATAAATAAATAAATAAATAAACACCAAGCACTGCAGTCTATATATTGTTTTCAAGAAGTCAGAACTGATATTATTAGAGTCAAACTTCTGTTACAGTCAAGGCATAGTACTTTACCCTTTTAAGCAACTGACCTCTGATTTGGATCGCAAATGTAAGGAAGAATTTTAACCCTTCTTCCTCAGCAGTGACACGGACCTAAAAATCCCTTTCACTGAGCAGCAGGTATTGAAACTTAAAAAGCTTCAAAGGGGTCAGGAGGGTGGTGTTAAAAATGAATCATTGTTAAACTATTATCCAGGTTGGATATTAGAGTTGAGTGGAGCATTACATTTCTCTCCCCCATGCATTGTGGTGCTAAACCAGACCAATACTCCTTTGCTTACTTACTTCTGAGTAAAAAAACAAAAAAAAACCTGCTTGAAGCAGTGTGCTTGGCACTCAACCTTGTTTTTTTTCTTTTTGTAGAAATAGTGATATTAAGCAATGCTGTACCACCACATCTCTAAAAATGGCAGTCAAAGACATACATACTTTAAAAATACGATTTCATTAACACACCACCCGTTCTTCAAGAAGCTCAGGGAATTGCTTTAGCCTCAACACCAATATAAAGTTGATTAGATAAAAAATATTAAAAGAAACCAAAATGGTTTCATTTCAAGACGGGGATATACCCTCCTTTTTGGTGTCAAGCAAGCCACACTCAAGGAGTCTTTTGTAAAAGAGATCAAAATTGGTTCTTTTTTTGCATGTTTTTCATGGGGCTGAACCCACCACTCATACACATTTAGAAAAAAATGGAATGAAGCAATGGCTGCCAGCGAACTTCTCATCTTGGTTAGCATGGTAAAATTTAGTTCTTTAAATACTGATAATCCCCACAGACAAGTTATTAGACAAACTCGCTCATATTTGAGAATTAATCCTTTTTATTCTCCAGTACAGTTATTTATAGCTATTCTAATGTGACTGTGAAATCACCCCCAAATTTGCCACTGTGTTTAGCTTTGAATTCTGGACATTCCTTATGATTATGCATGAATGCAGCCTTTGTCTACTCTTATTTAGAGCAATGACACTGAGGCCAACAGAACTGGTAGTCAGGAAACTAATCCACTTGAACTGCAGGGATCCCCAACACCTCTTTGTAAAATACCACATGGCTATAAATGCTACTGGTGATCACCAGACTTGTCTTATTTGAACTGAGTGGAGTAGGAATATCTGTTTTATTAGCTAATCCTGTCTGAAGCGCTACTTTCTCCTGTATATCTATTCATTCATATTTTTGAAGACTCTACTCCAGAAGGATTTGCCCATCAGAATGTCAGTGAGTGACATTTAGTTATAGACCCTAAAAAATTCAGCTGTGGTGGTCTATCTTTAGAATCGTCTCAAAAAGGTCCACTTGGCACCTAAGCTTTGATATTTCAGCAGTCTTGTGATGATAGCTGTTTTTCTGGGGATTTGCAGCTGTTGGTTGTTTGGGGCTAAATGTAACATATTTATTGATGTATATTTTAAGTTATATCATGCCTATCTCCTAGTATGGGATTCAAGATGGTGATGTTAGCACTATCTACAGTAGGCCAATCCATTGAAATAAATACAATTGAAGTCAATTGTGATTCAGAAGTTCAGGTCACTTCAATGGCCCAACTCTAAAAATAAAAATAAGCCGAAGAGTACTATACCTTTATGCTGTGAACATACTGATTTATACAAATGGGAGAAAACATAAGAAGAAAATACTGCTATTTCCACTGCTCATTAAAAGCTTCATATAAATGTTGGTGGGAGCTGATACATCTAGGCAGATGTCTGTCATTAAAGAATATTCACTCCACAGAAAGTACATACAGTATATTCTGGCGTATAAGACTACTTTTTAACCCAAGAAAATCTTCTCAAAAGTCAGGGGTCGTCTTATATGCGGGTGTAGTCTTATGCATGGGAGTCATCTTAACTCTATATTTTAACTGGAAAAGTTGGGGGTCGTCTTATACACCCAGTCGTCTTATATGCCGGAATATACGGTAGTTCTTTTCTATGCTGTGCCATTTTGCAAACATTCACAGATACAGGACAAGAAGAGAACAAAAAGATATATGCCTAGCATTTTTGAATGCCTTTGACACTGGGATACTAGGGTGCTTTCATTTCCCCCTTTAATGTGAATGGCTGGATAGCATAAAAATGTAAGAGCTTACTTCCAGACTTTTTATAAACCAAAAACTGTATAACAGATGTGCTTTTGAAATTAGTGATTTGAAATGTTCATGTTGTCAACCAAATCATACATATAACAAAGTTGGAAGTTTTTAGATACCGATACCAATATTAAGCATGGAGATGCTTTGTACAGGTTGCGTATTCCTTATCTGAAAATCTGAAATGCTCTAACAATCCATTTTTGTCAAAATGGGTGACTGAGATAAAAACACCTTAAAATTATGCTTAAAATTATGAGATGTATGTTGTATATTCTTTAGGCTATGTATACAAAGCATATATGAAACGTAAATGAATTTCAAGTTTGGATTTGTATCTCATTTTCAACATATCTTTATGTCTTTGCAAATATTTGAAAATCCAAAATCTGAAACACTCCTGGTCCCAAGCATATTGGATATGGGATACTTAACTTGTAAGATAGCAAATATGCTACAGACTCTGAATTTCCTTTGTGTGAGCTATACTTAAAAGGATGTTTGCTGCTTCACAAAATGTGCTTCATTTTCATTCCCACATCTTCATTAGTATACTGAAGATTGGAATACATTAGTTTTTGAGCTTCAGTACTGGTACTCTGGTATTCATAAAAAGTGCTTACAGGAACAAAAAGCAGACAAGCCTGCCATGATTATACTACAAACTATATTATGCTCTTTGTATGAAAACTGTCCGCTGTTCATCAAATACATGAAGCTCTTGGCCACTAAACAATAATGTGTTTTAGATTCTTCTTTTGTAAAACACTTTGGTAGGTGACTTACAATTCATCAAAGTAGTTTGTGCCCAAATGAAGAAAATCACTGGAGCTGTAAGAATAAGTACTCATTCAGTTCTCTACTTACCATTGCCTGTTCTATTTTGTTGTCAATGGCTACAACACTCGCACCAGATGCACTGTTTGAAAGAAAGGAAGAAAGAAAGAAAAAGATAAGTACATGAACTCCAATGACCACTGGAATGTTGCAGAGCAAAACTAACTGAAAGGCAAACATTACTGATGTCTTTTATTGCCGTTTCCGTCATGTTTAACTAGAGAACTTAGCATTTATATGGTGCTAATACCTTAGCGATAATTACAAACCTTTAAGGTTGACTGGTCTTGGTCTCCATATACTTAGAAACAAGCAAACCATAAGGATTATATTTCAGGGAAGTGAGACATATTTCAATCCCAATAAACCCAATGGGAACAGAGCATTTTAATGCTTTCAATGGAACTCAGACATAACTTGTTCCTGTCTGATTTGGCACAAGGCAAGCCTCTGTGGTATATGGCCTTGTGAACAGATTTCTTGAGAGTACAAGGAGAGAGCTGTTGCCACTGCTCACTTGGTTGCCATGGTTTGCTACATGTGAGCACCTTTTATGTGCAACTAGAATAGTTCACAATCATAACCAAGTCAACCATTAAGCTCCTACTGTGTGACTGCAAGTGACACTTTGATATATTTGTTCTGGTCAATATGACATGTTAGACATCCAAGGTATTATCCAATATGGTAAAAACAATGACAACGACAACAACAACAACCATTTACAATAAAGCCACACTATAATTTGGACACTCCCAACTGACCCAAGAAATGAAAAATGGTCGAGTTTTCTTTTAAGAACACCTAGCAAAGGGTTTATTTAGTACCTATTTTTCAGTGCAATACAAGGCACTTAATTTCCATTGCTTCAAATGGGGTAAAATATTATTGTTCTTCTCTATTGAAAATAAAGGGAGTTGAATTTAATTTAGTCAGGACTACTATGCTAGAACTTTAGTCCTTTAGTTTGAGATACTAGATGGTTAACTCATCTAGTACAGAAGATCCTTGCATTCATTTGAAAAAGTTTAGACCCTGCTAGCAATTTTCTCCAAAAGTCCAATCAGAGTTGGTAAAGTGGGTATTTTGTACGTTCATCACCACAAGAGACATTTACTCCTTCTGAACACCCTATATTCATGTTCTCTAACCACTACTTAGCGGCCATCATTCTTGAGTCAGAACAAATAAATAATGCTACTTCTCTGTAATTAGAACAGGATTTGCAACTTACTACATTAAATTAGTATTAGCAGTTTCTAAATCCCATTTTTCTGAAGTAAGCTTATCTAAACATTTCAAAAAGCGCTTTGGAATTCAACAATTACTGATACCTAGTTCACTGTAGATAATTTTTTGCCAATTTTAAAATGAAACATTCAGAATTGACTGCTCAAAAAAGCTGGAACTGCTTGTTGTTTCTAACAATGAGTTCACCTGATCCACAGCAGAAGGATTATCTTTTTTTAAATATGCATCTATGCCTTTTTCTGACATGCGAGCAAAAACAAACTTAATGCTCATAACTCGATTACAAAAGCATTTAATTTTCAAATGACACCACCAAAGAGGAAAAGTGATGCCAATACAGGAGTGGCCAAGTAATATTACATAGTTGAGAATGTATCGGGGATCAACAGTTTTTGTGCTATTAATCCCAGAATCGTAAGAGTTGGAAAAAACCGCTTGAACCATCCAGTCCTACCCCCTACCAAGAAGCAGGAAGATCACATTCAAAGCACCCCCGACAGATGGTCATCCAGCCTCTGTTTAAAAGCCTCTAAAAGGCACCTCCACCACACTTCGAGGCAGAGCGTTCCACTGCTCTCAGAGTTAGGAAGTTCTTCCTAATGTTTAGGTGGAACCTCTTTTCCTGTAATTTGAAGCCATTGATCCATATCCTAGTTTCCAGGGCAGCAGAAAACAAGTTTGCTCCCTCCTCCCTATGACTTCCCCTAACATATTTATACATGGCCATATGTATAATGTGTTAACAACTGTCATCTGTCATGTCTTATCACACTGAAACTTTAAACTGTTTATGGTTTATAGATTAAATCAATCTAAAAAGTCAATTAGTGAGGTGGGATATAAATGTATTAAATGAAGTAGTGAGAAGTGCCTAGATTGCTTATCAAGATGGAAATACAGTTCAAGCGCAAACAACTGAAATGTGGACATACTTTTATCATGCCCTTCAAAAGAGGTCAGTAGGACTTTGTGAGTAAAATCGTCCATTTTACCTCCTTTAAAAGTAGGTAATAAAGGAAGGGGCTTTTATGTCTGAGGAGTTTCTGTGCCGGGACTCCTATAAAGAACAAACTCTTAAGATTTTATATGATCAAGTATTTGCATTTGCAAACAGTCTTACTAGACATTTCAACTTCACACACCTTGGCCTTCAAAGCAACATTCTTCAGATCATCTAGGTTCTTGTATTCTTGTTATTAAAAGAAAAGTAGCTGGCATATTTAATCACATTTTAATTTCAAGGTTTCTGAAGAAGAGTTTTATGTTCCCTAACTAATGGTTTGGTTTAACATTTTCATGTAAGAATATATAGAACTGGATGTGGAATGTATGTATGTATATGTATGTATATATATTGCAAAGAAGTGGTTTTCCTTAGCCCATTCTTTTTCAAAGGGAATGTATTCACAAAGAATGCAACACTTAAGTTTTTTTTATAGCAGTCTTCTGCTCTTTATAGGTTTCCTCCTGCAGAAAGTATTCTTTCAGTAAATGACCTATTTAATTGTTTTACCCTCCAAATGAACTGGGCAGGAGACAACATGCCACAAATGCAGGTCTGTTATGTTTCCCCATAATTCGTCCAGCCTTGCTAGATATGAGCAGATAGTTATACTCACTCCTATTGGCCTCCCCTTTCCTTCTACCCATCATTTTTTCAACTGGCATGTGGACATTCCATATCATAACAGGTATCAACCAGATGTAATTGAGTCATATAGTCTACCTAACATTACCTTTCAGACACTCTCCCTCTTGTCATCAATCTATTAGGGAATTGCCTAAATATTTAGTAGCTCAAACTGGTAGTAAACATTGTTTGGTACCAATTCGAAGTTTAGCAGAGGCTCTCTGAAAAGAAAAGAGCCTTTTCTTACTGGTACTCTTTAAAAACATTGAATCAAAGTGAAGCTCAACAGCTTGCATATAGGATAGTGGATATGCAAGCTAATACAGCTTGAAGACAAGAGGCCTTTGCTTTCGGATAAGGGACACAAACTTGTTCCATGAATTAAATTATTTAAAATATTGCATATAAAATTATCTTCAGGCTGTGTATATATGAAAGATAAAAGAATTTTGTGTTTAGACTTGGGACTCTTTTCCAAGATCACTCATGTACATATATGTAAATACAAGGATTACAAAATTTAACACTTCTGGTCCCAAACATTTTGGATAAGGGATACTCGACCTACAGTTTAGCCTCACTCAGAACTTTTGATTATTGCGCAGCTTTGGTGCTCTTGGGTAAGACAGGGAGGGAGGGATCAAGCTATTTTTGGTCTATTGAGTTATCACATTAATCTGTATTGGCTTTTATACAGCCTTTAAGGGAATTATAAGCTCTACTGAAGAGCAGAGTCAGAATGATAACTATGTTCTGGTCTCTGCACTAGTTCAATACGTATGAACCAGGTCAATATACTCCTAGATACAGAATAACAATGATCTTTTTTAAAAAAAAATCCCAGGGCATGCCACATGTGAGTCATGCACCCATGTAAAAGGAAGCAATGGGATAATGTGGCTAGGGCAGTCTATTTTCCCTCCTTCCTGGAAACAATTCTGTATTTCAAATAATGAAACAAAAAAAATTAAGCATAAGGAAACTAGCAACCGTGTCTGAAAAGATTGTAGGAGCTATCAATAAGGGTAGGATGGAATGGGAGAACCCTGATGTTTATCCAAGTCAGAAAGATTATTGTTGAATGCCCTATAGTAGAACAGTGCCAATGTGTTAAACATACTTTTAAAAAAAAAAAAATAGAAAATGGCAAAAGAAGTTTCAACAGAAACAAATTTGACAATGAAAATTTAGATTTCTCCAAAACAAGATAACGTATACGAAGTACACTGACAGGGAAGGGAAAGTGCTTGTGGGGTATTCAAAACCACAGCAGCAGCGGAGCTAAAACATATCCTGCAAGTCAGGAAAGGTAACACATAATTTAAAAACCAGCACAACTAGCAAGCAAGCAGAGTGAAGGAAATTATTACAGAAAAGGCTACCTTGAGAAATCTTGCCTACAAAAGGAACAAAAAAGAATACAAACTTGCACAAAGACATCCAAGTAGATAATAATGCAAAGAAGGATTTTGGGAGCATATCACATAATATTTAGACAAATAAGGTAAAATGCCCTAGAAGCAGGGAACTAGCTCTGAAAAAAAGACCCCAAGACTGACAATGGCATTCAAAGAGTATTTATTAGAATATAGGGAAATTGCAGAGAAACTGAATAAATTATTTGTATTTTTCTTCATTGTAGAAAATGTAGGACAGATACCTGACCTGGTATTTTCTAAAGAGAGTCTGAGAAACTGAGGTGAACAGTGGTGATGAAGAGATGAAATTCCAGTTTTTGAAAAGAAAGAAATCACTGGAACAGGGTGGCAGTTATCCAAGGACTCATGAAGAATTCTATTTTGAAATTCTGATGTTTCAACTTAAGTATCTAACATGTCCCCAAAATCATCATCTTAATGAGAGACACCCACATATAACACCAAAGAATACTGTGTATTTATTTGGGGAAAATTACAGGACAGTTTGATGTCACTGCCAGATAAACTGATAGAAAACATTAAAGATACAATTACGGAAAGATATGGTTTGTTGGAGAAGAACAAATATTGATTTTGCAAAACTAGGTCTTATTTTACTAACAAAATGCTACTACATTGTGCCTCCAACACCCAACTTACAGAGCCAATTTTGTAAAAAATGGCTTAATGGCATCAGCACCTATCAAGAGACCAAGGAATGACAGGACTGAACTCTTACTACCTCTACTTTGGACAAGTGAATCTGTCTGAGCAAAGTATTTGTATGATCAAAACCATTCCAAAAGCAGAATGAACTACAGCGAAATAGTTTGTTGGATCTGAAGTTGAGCTGCCACAACCCTCCCCAAGGTCTTATTGAAAAGGCACACTGGGGACAAAAATAGTTGTTGAAACCATTCAGGTACAGAGGATTCCTTAAAGGATTGGGACACAGTCATGTCTTGTGAAGAGGCATAAAGCCACTCAGTTAATATCCAGATTATTTATTTATTTATTTATTGTATTTGTATCCCTCTCTTTCAAGGAGACTCAAAGTTTTAACAACTCATAAGCAAAAACGGGTTTAAAATAGAAATAGTAGGCTGTACCCCATCGAATCATTTTGTCCACATTCTCATAGCTAAATATGCCAGATCAAGATCATGCACTGACATATTGAAATAAACCCATGATTGACATGGTGGTCATGAAACCCCAACCTGTCAGAGGAGGGCCACCAAAACTGTAAAAGTTTTAGAAGGCAAGCCCTATTAGAAACAACTTAGGGAGAATGGAAAATTAAAAGGTGACATGATAGCCATGCTTAAATATTTGAAAGGGTGCCCTATTGAAGAAGAGACTAGGACATGGAGCAATAGATTCAAAAAACCAGAAATGAGATTCCATCTAAGGAAGAATTTGCTGACAGTAACAGCTATATGGCAGTGGAATATGCTGCCTCAGAGTACAGTGAACTCTCATTTTTGAAGGTTTCTATGCCTATCTGTCAGGAGTTCTTTCACAATGTATTCTTGCATGGCAGATTTGGACTGGATGGCCCTTCCAACTCTATGATTCAGCAAATTTAAAATGTTTAACTTACATGAAGGTAATTCAGATCCAAGCTTTGTAATGAATGTCAATTTTCTTACAGTTATGGATACATTTCAATTTAATTATCACTAATTATAGGGAAACTATTGCATGCAATAGATACTTCCCATAGCAAATTCAAAGAAACCTACCATCTGCAACATAATGTCAGGGATAGATCTGTAAAATATCAATTTGAACAGAATCGTATTGTGAACAATCTTGAGATTTCACCAGCATTGTTCTTGAACACTACTTCTTCACTTGAAAGTTTAGAGCAGGGTAAGAAAGGCTTTTGCTTCACACTGAGATTATTTTTTTTAATTGTTCAGAGACCAGTTTTAAATGACAAGAAATTGGGACTAGTTTTAAAAACAACTGTTTTAGCGTGTACTGCAATTTTATAGATTCCCAAAATATTTAGTGGGCTCCTTGATTTGAGTAGTAGCTGGTAATGAGTATAAATGGTCTAATGTGGCTTGCTAGAAATATCTGAGATGTCTAATTTCAAGTCTTCTATCCAACGCCCCTCCCAAATCTCCTATTTTGAGATATCTAAGGAGGGGAAATCTCCTGAGATTAATGCACCTAGCAACCAATATTTAAGTGGTTAGCAGTAAGAGGAAAAAAACATAAGAGGTTTCCCAAAGGTATCCTTGGCAGTGATTAACTTAAATTTTAAATGATGTAGCTATAACAGATATCCCTAAAAATATTCATGAAGGAATTAAAATGCAGGATTTCCAATACTAGATTTTAGTTAAGTCTGCTATATGTAAAATATTACATAGCAGTTCAGTGTGACATTTACCAATTCAAAATTTGTTGGAAATCAAAATACTGTACTCCCAAGAAAATTGCCCATCAAGAGAGAACACTTGAAAGAGTAGTTACAAAACACTGTGTTCTGCTTTAAGCCTGACCAAAACACATTATAACAAGTTTACACATCTAGGTGTTCAAAACAGAGGCAAATCATTCTATAATATATTTTTAAATGTACTTCATACATCAGACATTCTAATTTTAAAAGATTATATATAGCACTGTTTACATAGTGTGTCTATAAAACTCAGTTGTGGAATTGGCTTCAAATAATAACTTCATGGAAGTTTACAGCTGTTATAAAAATATTGTGACAAATTAATGTATGAATATTCATGAAAGAAAAGGCTGCATTAGAGGCCTGCCATTAAAACAGCCAATAGAAGTTACCAACTGGACTGATATCAAACCAATTATCACCTTTCTATTTGTACTCTTCCCTGCCACAACTGCCTAATTTTTGCCCAACTGTGTTTTATGGGCAACATAAAGAGTGGAAGGGGGGAGGGGGGTCAGGGCTATCTGCTGCTATCTGGGCTACATACATGTACCCTCCTAAACCAGGATGGGGTGGTGATTTATAACCCTCCAGATGTTAGACCTTCAATTTCCATCATTCTTCATTGCTAGCTATGTTGTCCAGGGTTGATTGCAATTGTCGTCCAACATCTGGAGGACTGTGAGTTCCCCACCCCTGCTCTGGGAGAACAAAACTTGGGCATGTGAGTAGTAAATCATTTGCACATCACAAATTTCTCTATTTTTTTTTCTTCCAAGAAACAATGCCATAAAACACTTTTAATGTTATAGTCAACGTTAGGTTTGCAACTCCCACCTGCACACTCACATATTGCTTGAGAAAATGTCTGCATGTGAAGGTGTCACATTGAGTGGTCCCAATAAGGAAATAACCACTGCAGTCAATCAGCCTGGCCCTCGAGAAAAGGAACAGGTTTTTAAGCCAGATGTAGTTTAGCTCAGTAAAGTTAAAACTGAATTAACCTTCCTCATCTTCTGAGTAAATCAATTCCGCTCTTCTACCAGCAACATATCTTAATAATTTGGCAGGGTGTTATCTACTAAACTGTTTGAATTTTCTATCTGCTATTAATGTCATTTCAGATGGACATACAAGGAATATGTTTTATATTATATGAATAGACCCCTACTGTTATTGTGAATAGAAGCTTGCTTGAATGTATCAAAATGTATAGATCATAGTTAGCGTCAAAACAGGTATATAGAAGTTTTCAATTTGTTCAGGAAAAGAAGACTAAATCACATGACTACTAGAAAATAAGATTGGTAGATCATCTTGGCAGACTGCAAACATGTAACTCCAATGTTATAGGGTTTGTTCATCACACAGTTTCCCCACACATTCAGTCTCTTCTCAGTTAGGGTTTCCCAAGTCATGCTTTTGCACAATTAACACAAATCTTTTGTTTTAAATGTGCCAAGCGCACTCTATTCAATGCTGCTTTAAGAATAAATTTGGCCAATGGGGCAGCTTTCATGCATGACAACATCTCTGTAGGCAAATAGAGGCTGGAATATAGCCATCCTGCATAATACAGAATAGCCGGAAATGAACACATGATTCAACCTGTTTAGCTTACAATTGTAGTTTATGTTCAGACTGCCAATAACATAAGCAAATCCCACATCAGCAAGTGGAACCTGAAGCACTCCAAAAGAACAAATTCTCCAACCTTAACAAGTTCCCCACCTTTGTTCAAGACGAATGAACGCACACAAACATAACAGAAAGAAACCTGTAAAGATGTTCTCGCATTTACAGGTTGCTTTGGCATGGATAAAAATACCCATTCCTTGCCATATTTGCTTCCAAAACAAATATTTTCCATAGTTCCTTTTTAAAAAGTTGACTAAGAGGTAGTCAAGTATTAGTAATTGTTCAACTTTTCATCTCCAGAAAATGGAGCTCTTATACGAAGATTTCTTCTATATTTAATTTAGAATACAGCAGCACTTCAACACATTATTGTGATTTTAAATCCCTTTCTAAAGTTGGCAAGCACAAGATCAAGCAAGCTTTAGGGAAGCTGTTAAGTGTTCTTTGCTTCAACAAGGTGAATGCAAACAAATGATGGAGCTTAATGTTCAACTAGCAATAGAAAATCTAAGACAGTCAAGAACATTATAAGCCACAAAAGCCATCAGGATTTCAAACTATAATATTAATAGTGAGAAAGCCAAACTACAGCAGTTGAATTAGTAATGCAACTTTGACAAGAGACATCTTCAAAGTTGGGTTTGTTGCAGTTTCTCGCCAAGTGCCTGGGTAAGCCTAAATCCTCTTTCAAAGCTTTTTCTCATCCTGGTCCCAAATTACAATTTTGCCTAAGATGTCCATAAAGTATACCACATATATGGTCTACTTTTATTCTGCAATTCAAATGACTTGATTTTTAAAAAACTACCGCATTTATATAGGACCACTACTCCTAGCTTTCTAAAGCCAGGTTGGGGCTGCTGATAAACAGCATTTCTGTTTCAGTACAAGTAAATACATAATATGCTATTAATTCTCTAAAGTACAGAAGGAAAAGGCAGAATGGAACTAAACTCTATGAGGCTGAGAAGACAAACCACAATTTCAATCAACTGTTTTTGGATACTGTTGCTGTAAACTAATCAAGTCATGCTGCATAAATAGAGGACATAGGCAGAAGATGTCAAAGTGACCCTAGTATTTGATGATGAGAAACTTGCGCAATGCAAACCTCTTCATGCATACGTCAACATGTATGCCTTCCATACTTAAATATTCATACCTATCCCAGAGGTTCTTTGATTCCTTTAACTTGTTCGAATGGAACACTTGATAGAAAGTAGTTGAAGGATTCCTATGAGAGCCAGGAAATGAGAGAAGATTGAGAATAGATAACAATTTTGTTGGAGTAAAATGAACTTTTATGTTTAAACATTCAAATTGACCCCAAGTCCAAACGTAGACTGCAGACCATGAAACAGTACAAAGAGATGAATTATATATATAGCAGAAAGTGTGTACGTACATGGATTCAACAGAGAAAGAAGAAGAAAAATCAAGTAGTATCTTTATGGAATAGACAAAGATCATTTGCTTTTTATTTTCACAAAGCACCTAAATCCATTACTTCTATGCATGGAGGCTTTGGACTATTTAACTACTATACGACTATATCTTACTACTCACAAAAAATAGAAAATGCCACTGAATATATCTAACATGCAAAAGTTTTCACAACTTTTAAACTACAATGTAGGGAGAGAAGAGAAAGGGAAATTTAAGCTGTGATATTTGAAACCATGAACTGAAGGATTAGCTTGCTAATAAGGAAACAAGCCAGTCACACAGCGATTACTTGACCAAAAATATCTGCAGCCTTAAAAGGCAAAGCACATTTGCCTTCTCAACAATAGTTATTTTCACAAAATTTCAAAGCTTGATACAAGGGGTTCTAGAAAATATGCAAAACTCTGGTTGTCCATGAAAAGCCTGACAACATACATTACACTTCCAAATACAGAAGGACAAATGGTAATGATCTGACCGAAAGTGACAGACAACACATAGAATTTGCACACACAAACATATACATCCACTATATTACAAAATTACTAAATATGAGTTATCAATGTATTTCGATGTGTGGAACTGAAAAAGTTTCAAGTGGCTCAATGAATTTTCAAGTGATGTGCAAAAACAAGAAAAGTTTCAATCAGTGGTTCTCACAGTCTCTTTTCTTAAACGTACTCAAGTAACACTGGCTGCCGTTCCACAAAGGAATTCTATGATTTTCACATGAAGCCTGTCGAAATGCAGGCAGTATTTCACATATCTAAAAAAGACACTCAATAAATCAAATAACTGAAAAAAATTAATACAAAATCCTTTTTGTGACATCCCAACTCTCCATGGTCTAGTTTGGTCAGAATATTCAACATGAACTACAAAAAATCTTGAAATCCTGATCCCAGAGCAAATGCAACAAATTTACAAGTTTTCTATCCGGTTTTGGATAAATCAAAACCTTTCAACAAATTACGTGTAGATTATTCATTAAGTTATTTACTTAATTTCTATCTCGCCTTTCTCCTCGTGGGGACTCAAGGCAGTTAACAACCATAGGTGAAGTATGGCTGACTGTTAATAATGGTTACTGAAAACAAATCATTACTCAATCACACTGGATGAAGCTGGTTTCCTTCCACTATCCACAGTTAATGCTGACCAAAGTTATAAGAGTCAACTGATATGCCAAACTGCATTTAGTCTGCTGTCTTAAAAATCTATGGAAATCTGATTTAAAACTGGATGAATAACAGAAAATAAAACATGCCATACTTATTTTATGCACTATATATATTGTTTTTTTCACTCCAAGGAATGCTAACAGCAGAATTTGATAGGGGGAAATCAATATTACATATTGAGAGTATTTTATATGCTCTGTTCAAATATTTTTTTAGTTTTGCTTGCACCTTATTTTTATTGGCATGTTTGTGAATACCTAAAAAAAAGCTTGATAGAACACATGATCCAATTAGCACCTAAAATTGCTACAGTACTATTTAAAATCATTATCTGCTAAAATTGGGCCTCCAACTCGCCTATAAACTCTGCAAGGTTGGATAGGACAAATATTTTTGCATGCTTTAGCCTCTGAATCTGATTATTATTTATTTATTTTCTTCATTTTTGCCCCACCTTCCTCAACCCAAGAGGGGACTCAAGACAGCTTACAAATCCGGCAAAAATTCAATGCACAGGTAACAATAAAACGTATCTCATAAAAAAATATAAACTATCTAAGCATATAAACAATTAAAACTCATACCAATCTATCAAACAGATTAAAAACCACATATAAAATGGTGAGTCATGGTCTCAGTTAGTGATGGCAACTAAATGTCCTCAAATCTTAAGAGCCCTACCTTTATCTTCCCTGTTACCATCTCAAACAAATGAGGCTTATAAACGCCTGCATAAATACTCAAAAGCAGTGTTGGGAAGGATGTCAGAGTTTAATTTAGAAAATATTGAAATATTTTGACTGAAAAAAAATCTGCTGATCTAGGGTGAGAGGTGGGGGGAGGTCTGATTGCTGAAAGATCTTTCTGGGCTCAGTGCTAATGAGAGTTTCAATTGTGATAGAAGCCAAGAGTCCTATTATCAATATTGGTTCGTATATCAGATGTGACTACCTGGGGAAAACATTCCAGGTAAGTTACATCCAAAGTAGACTATTGCAAAACTTCAGCTGGTAAATAATGTGGTCATTCACATACTTTTTGAGATTAGAGGGTAGGATCACATTACACCAATCCTGTATAAGCCGATTGTCTGCAAGTGTATTTCTAGGCCCAATGCACAGGATGCATCTTTCAAGCTTTACATTAGTTAGGCCCAAGTGATTTGAAGAACTGTCTTTATTCTCCTGAACCAGCCCTGCTTGTTGATCATCATTGTAGTCTCAAAGATCAGGTGGATAAAAATGACAGAATGCCTTCCCAGGGTGAAGTATAAACTGTGTGGGTTATTTTAAACATCTTTAAAAATGCTTGCTTCCTTTAGCTTTTAACTGGTATTTGAAACTGCATTTTGTTTAAACTATGTACCAATTGTTTAATGCTGAAGTGTTTTTAATAATTTCATACTGATCTCTCTGATTTCATAATACAAACTGGGTTAAATATCTTGATGGTTTTTGGTCTTCACAGTTTTTATCAATAAGCATGTTTGATGATTCTTGAAACACTCATCTGAAGAAAAAAAAACCTAACTGTAACTTCAATTTTGATTTATCTAGTATTTATTTTTTCCATTTATCATATTAAAAACTAATTTTGTGAATGGATGCCATTTACATTTGGTTCCATAGAAAGTACACAGCTGACAAATTACTGGCTTCACCTGATTAAAGTTTCAAATCTTACTTTGTGCTAGCCTTGAACACATTTCAAAGAACTGTTTGGATCAAATTTAACCTTTTCCACTCCAATTCAAACCAAGATAGCATACTTTGTCAAGTATTTGTAGATAATTTTAAAATATATATAACTGTTTCTGTATATGACTTTAGCTAGGACTCAACTGAAGATCAGCATGCTCACTTTTAAAGAGAATATCCTATCCCATTTGCAAAAACGACTAACAGTTCTGAAATGATATGTTCTGTTACACTATGATAACTTTTTGCTACTCAGTATAGAAGCTGGAAATGCCACACTAATATGTATATAAGAATATTGTCAGGTTTAAGACTAGATGACTGAAAACAAGAGAAAATGGAAAATCTTTTGTTCATAAAAACAACTTAGATCCTAAACAGAATGAACAAAAAGAAACTTGCAGAAGACGACATCTCCAACTCCTCCAGAGTATGGGATGTGAAATGGAGAACAGGGGAATACTCCAAATCAGTAACATACACATTGGACAAGGAGATCTTGTAACATCTATTAGCAAATAGATATTACAAGCAAAGAGATCTTGTAGCACCTTAGAGTCTGAAAGGGCAAAGTCAACAGCATAAATTCTTATTTGCTAAGTCTACTTCCTCAGATGCCCTTAAGAAAGCAGACTTAGTCTATGAAAGCTTATGCTACCAAATTTGTCCTCTCAATTAGTCTGACTAATATGGCTATGTCTTTGAACTCTACCACCTTGGACAAGTTCACTCTGCTCACAGAAGCTGCCAGTGCAGAACGTGGGAAAATTCCTTACCTTCTGGATAAGTGAGGATAGTGACAAGAGCCTTCTAAGGAAAGTCTATCATCTTATTCTCCTCTACCAGCTTAGAACCTACTGGGCATCCCTTATCTCCAGCTGCAGCATCCCCAACAAGTACCAGGTATACGTTGATCTCATGTATAAGTCAAAAACAGCTTTGGGGGACCAAAATTATGGATTTTGATATATGATCTTTGGATAAATCAAGGGTCATCCTGCAGAGAGGGGAAAGCTTCAAGTGGCCAGTTTTCCCTGGCCATCACTGCCACCGTTTGGCCTCCAGGCATTCAAAAAGGCCAGCAACCGCACTGTGACAGAAAGAGTACACGGACTTGGTGCTTCTTTTAGGTTTTTCCAGGACAGATTAAACTCTCACCTTTGCCACTCTACTCAGAGAAGGGGATAGTTCCTTTTTTTCTTGAAAGAGTTAGGGTACAGTACTTACCTGTGGATTAGTCAATTATTTAATTAAAATTTCTGGACCAGTAGTTCTCAACCTGTGGGTTCCCTCCCAGATGTTTTGGCCTTCAACTTCCAGAAATCCTAACAGCTGGTAAACTGGCTGGGATTTCTGGGAGTTGTAGGCCAAAACATCCGGCGACTCACAGATTGAATACCACCGTTCTAAACCTATATACTGTATAAGTATATACAGTAACTTTCTGGCCTATTTGTGAAGATATTCAAAGAAGGATGCTCCACCATTTCCTTGGGAAATTGGCTCTATTATTTTTACACAAATATCAATGGGCTGTCTCACTTAATTCTCTCTATGCTTAAAGCTCTCCACTGCTCCACTTTGATCACTGACATGGATTTATGTACAAGTGAATTTGTATTTGACATACGTGACACTCCCGCCCCTCTGTTCTTCCTCATCTATTCTTTTTAAACAGATTATCATATTCCAGTCATGGGAGTCATCCTACCAAATCTTTGTTATACTATAAAATAATGGGTTCCTTCTTTGAGCTGGTCATTAACCATAATAAAGTTTTTATTATTATAGATTCTTTCTTGCACTAGACTCCAAGCTCATTTTGTCTGTTCCCAAATTGTGTGCATTGATGTATATGCATCTAAAGTGTTGCTTGTTCTAATCTTTTATTCTACTCCAAGTTTCATTGT